TGTGTATAAGAGACAGCCCCTGGAGTCCCCGGGGCGGTGTCTCGGGGTGTCTGTGGCAGGGTGCCTCGCCCGCCAGCTGCCTCTGCGGCGAACCCAGGCACGGCCCCTCGGAGGGGTGAATGTCTGGGCATACAGAAATAAATACACGGGTACTGAGCGATCGGTCTCTGCGAGGCGGGGTAGAGAGGCGAGTCGCGAGCTTTGGCCTGCGAGGGGAAGGCCCGCTGCTTTCCCTTGGTTTGCTTTCCGAGGCACCCAACTGCTTTTGGTCACCCGATCCTGTTTTCTGCGGTTAACGGTTTCTGCTTTTCTGCAGGTCAGCCAGCGAGTCCACAATCTCTGCCAAAACACAAGGATGCTGTTAATCAAAACGGAACATTTGTTGTAGGCTTTTTTTTTTTTTTTTCCCCTTGATGAGAAGATAGCTTTCCTTCTGATATAACAACTGGGACATGGAGTCACTCTCTCCTCAGGCCAGTGTGACCGGGCAGCCCTTAGCAGGGGACAGGCCTGAGCAGACACAGGTGAGTACAGCCCAAAGACAAGCAGCCACTTATATGGCAAGATGCTTGGAAACTGGCGGGAAGATGTCTTTCCAGCTCAGCACCACACAGGCACAGCTGGGCATTGGATTAGAGTAATAAAGACAGGTTGTATCCTCAGCGTGGCTTTGCCAATGTCTCGGATGATTTTTTGGGTGTCTTCACTTCAGCCAAGGCGATTCCCTGCCGCAGGGTCTGCTGAGGGAACTGCTGTTGGGCGATGGAGGCACAGAGAGCACAGCACACAGTGGTTTCTTATGCCCATTTTCCACATCTCTTGTATGGAAACTGAGCCCATAGAATGGAGCAGATGAGACTGAAGGAAGGAAGCTTTCTGCCCTTAGATGAACTGAGGGAACCTCTGCGCCTTCAGGCACACCAGATTCCTCTATCTTTTCCTGCCATTTCTGTTAAGTCTTCTGATGGAGACCTGATCAGACCCAGACCAACTGCAGAGACTGAAATCTTCCCTGCCACAGAGCAATTCCCAGGATTACAATTTACTGCTCAAAGACCAAGGCAGGAAATGTTCCTGCACTGTGTGGTGGCTACTCCTCCAATTTACGGGATCTTCAGGGCCTGAGACGGAATTAACCCACACACCCCTGCTCCCAGTTCAGCACTTGTCTGAGAAAAAAAAGCTTACTCTTATGTGATGCCAAATGAACGGCCTGGTGATTAGTGTCATGGCATGGGTAAATGTTAACTGTATCATCACCCTACAGAAGAGAGATCTAGTACTAGGGGAATCATTAGCATGAGAAGGTAGATGAAGGAGGGATCCAAAACGGAGAGGCAGACAAATTCATATGGAAAATAAGGGGCAAACTGACCACTGAAGCAGGTGATTGAGAGACAAAACAGGCCTTTGGAGTAGATGTCCAGGACACTTACCCTCAGCAGAAGGGCGTTGGGAAGGGTCAAAGGCCCGGCACTGGTCAATGACTTTCCGGAGGTCTTCAGGACAATCTTCCCCAACAGGGTCCTGGTAACGGTCGTTGCAGATTTTCTCCATGATTTCCTCAGGAGTGCAGCCTATACAATGTGCGTGCAAACAGGAGAGTCGGGATGGAGCTCAGCTGCCACAGGAGGGTGCGTGGGAGGAAACTCAGTACAAAGGCACACCAATAGCCTTCCTGCAGCCCATGGCATGGTGAAACCAGCAGAGAAGCCACCCAAAATATCTGCAGTGAACCCCCCCAGTATTTGGCATGACACCGTTGGGCTCCAGTGGAGCACGGAGAAGAGTTTATGCTTCAATGCACAGGAACATCAAATAGAGACAAAAATTACTTGAATGTTTGTGGTTTAAGTATGTTGCTGAAATGCTTTACTGAATAGGAGTCCCAGGAGAAGCTATGAAGCTGTTGTGCAGAGCCAGGCACACCAGGCACTGCCACTGGGACTCACACAGGGTGGGATGCTCCCGGAAGGAGCAGGGAGCATCCAGCACCAGACAGCAGCAGTATTTGGCTGTGTGGCTTTTACACAGGGGACCGGATACTTCTGTCTCACCTTCAAATGGGATTTTGGAGGTTGCAATCTCCCACAGCACGATCCCAAAGCTGGAAAAAGACAAGCAAGTCTCAGCATTCATCCCACCATGTTGTCCTCCCTTCTAACAGAGGGGACTGTTGGGCTATGCCAACTGCAAACAGCTGCTTATGTGTTTGATTAAACCTGGCCACCTTCCACAGCTCAGCAGCTCTTCTGCCAGACATCTGCCTGCTTACGGGCATCTCTCCCAGGAGGAGCAGACACACCTGTATATTTCACAGGGCCTCTTGTAGGGGTAGTTGATGTCTTTCAGGTTCTCAGGGGCAACATAAGCCAGCATAGAGACTTGTTTCCAGTTCTTCTGGGCTTTCCTCTTGATGGATGACTCTGTTTCACACAGCTCAAATCCTGACAGCTGGTTAAGAGAAAGAGAAAGGGAGAAGTGGTAGAAACACAGAAACCTGTGGCATGGCTGGGGACTGCCCTGAGATGGAGAAAACGAGCAAGGTGCCCTGGACAACAAAGGCTGGCATGCAGCTGTGTGTTCAGCCTGGAATGTAGTCTTTCTGCAAATGAAAAAACAGGTGGAAGCAGGTGAATTGTTCTAGTTTCAGCTCATCCCAGGGTTGATTGCTCAGAAAGCTTGCTTTGCAGATGATAAAACAGAGATAATGACAAACTGAGGTGTAAATGTCTAAGGAGAGATGGCTCTAATCCTAGGTTTTGTTCTGGACCATTGTAAATCCCTTTGGTGGTGGTGGTGGTGGTGAGACATCCACAAAAACATGCAAAACTCCCAAAAGCTTCTCCAAGCATTGTCCTTACCTTCACACAGTAATCCCCGGCCACCAGGAACTTGATACTGCAGATGCAGCCGTGGAGTCGGGACTTCTCCTCTGTCTGGTGCAACCTGCAGCCGGACAGAACCAAAGGCAAGGTGTGACGGACCCATCCCCACCTTGGGGCTCTCTCCTGCTGCATAGGGGATGGACTGACATGCACCCAGAGAAACCAGCGGCTCTCTGCCTGTCTTGGTGGATCAACCTTGTCAAGCCAACCTTTCCAGAAGGTGTTGAAAGAGCCGCTGTGAGCAAAATAATGAGCCTTTGGGATGAGCAGGACCCATAAGTAGAACTGGCCTTATGTAGGGAGAACTTATGTAAGGAGAACTTATCCTAGCCTTATGTAAGGAGAACTTATCCTTATGTAGGATGCTCCTGAAGCTGCCCTATGGGGGTAGGGAAGAGGGTTTCTCCCTTCCAGGCCTTTGCAGGCTTGAAGTCAGATGTAGGAGCCAGTGACCAAGGGAGATGGACACTACTGCATCCAAACCCACTGCCTACCTCTTCACCAGCCTCCATCCCATTGTTCCCAGGTGGTGGAAACAGTGTCTAACAGGATACCACTGCTTACTGAGAGACACCAGGAAGCTGAGCGTGGCCTGTGGATCATCAGGTGGACTTACTGATTTATACAGGAGCTCACCTGTACAGGCCTCTGGCGGCTCCCAGAGCCATCCGAATGCGAACTTCCCAGGAGAGATGCCGTTGCTTGGTCAGCACATCCCGCAGCGTCCCGTGCTTACAGTACTCCATGACAATCGAGAAGCAGGGGCTCCCATCTGCAAGGAGAAACCTTGAGCACCCTGCCCTGTGCCACCTCTTGGGAAGGGACCATGACAAACTCTGCCACCAGCTAGTGCTGGGGACAAGCAGGGGATGGAAAGGGTGACATTAATGTGACACCCTTTACCTTTCTCCTCAATGCAGATCCCATACATGCGCAGGATGTTTGGAGACTCAAACTTCTTCAGGGTCTGAATCTCCTTCTCAAAGATGTGTCTCACCTTCCTGCAGAAAGGGACAGCACAGTGAGATCTCTGGAACAAGGCATGGCACAGCTCTGTGCACCCTCCTGTCCTGGCTGCCCCGTGTCACTCCTATCCAAGACAACTCACGCTGGGTCAGTGGTCAATGGCCTCTTGAAGGTTTTGATGGCGACAGGGTACTTGAGGTACTCGCCCTCGTAGAGGTCATAGCTCTCTGTGTCCTGCAGGTGGCTGTAGAAGGTGAGGTGGTCCCGCTCGATCTCCGTGATGTCTTCTCTTTTACCAACATTGACCTTCTTCAAACCTGCTCCCGCCGTGCACCAGGAGGGAACGAGGGACATATTAGTCAGGGCTCAGGGGGAAAGGACAGAGTGCACAGGGTGCTCAGAGGTGCTATGCCAACTTACATTCCATCACACGGACGATTTTGTTCAGCTCACTTTGCATCCAGTCCACCTTGCTCTCCATACATTCCCTGTCAATGTACATCTCCCTGGTCACATCTTCAGGCTCCTCAGTACCTGGGGAGAGATACGCGCAGAGGTGAGGCTGCTGGATGAACGTATGGGACTGATGCAGTTAGTTTTTCTCATGGTTTAAATGTCCCTTTGAGTCTCCTTGGCCATGGCCATCAAGCCAAAGCTGGGCAGCAGCTGGGGAGAGGTGCCAACCTCTGGTCTCAGGGAAAGAGGATTTGCTAAATGCACACTTACTTGCAATCACCTGGTCCAAGAAAGCTCTGTCATCCCTCAGGTCCTCAGCATCCTGCCTGCGACATGTCTTTGACTGGAAAGCCTCCAGGAAAGCCTGCTTCTGTTCCGCCTGCAACAGGAGCGAGAGCCCCTGGGCAATGTCCTCCAGGCTCTCGTTCACCCAGATGAACTCCTCACCGGTGCTGCGGGCTCTCAGGAATTTCTGAATCCAGCTGGCCTGGCTATATTTCATCACCAGTTTCTGGGCTTCCCCCAGTGCTTGAAGCAGCTTTTTCAGCAGTTCTTCTTCTTGATGGGAGATGTACTTGTGTGGCTGTGCCTCAAGGATCCTCACAGGCTCCAGCAGGATCTGGATGCGCTCCACAAGGCGCTGGCACTGGTGCTTACAGCACTTCACCTGCTCGAGTTGGGCATGGATGGTCTGGGCCACGGAGAAGAGTCTCTCCACAATTTCCATGCTTACAGCAAAGGGCTTGGCCACTGGGGATGTGGGCTGGTGGCGTCTGGTGGAGATGAGCCTCAGGCACTGCTCGGAGATCAGCCGGATGTGGCTCTTCCACAACTTCCACCCTAAGGAACATCCTTAATGTGGCACACCACCGTCCAAGTCTCCTATAGCCCCTTATACATCCCCCGGCTGCTTTACTTCCTCTGCTTTGCCCGGCACCGTGGCCACTCACGCAGCCCAGAGCGGGCACACGCAAACAGGGACATCAGTAGCAGCAGCATTGGCACATCTTACTTCGCATTAGCAAGAGATGTTTTGGCTCGATGTATGTAAATTAATTTAGTGTTAGCCATTCTCAGAAAGTGTACACACAGACGAGCAGGGTCAGGAATGGCCCAAGGAGCAGGCCCTGGGCAGTGGTCCCCAGCATCGGCCCCATGCCACCCTGGGGTCCTGCCCACAGAGCCTACATCTTTGACCATAAAGATCCATTTTCATTTCTAGCCAACATCTCTTTCTGTTGTCACCCATCTAATAAAAGCTTTCATGCCTTCACAGCCTCAGCGTCCCCAACTTCTTTATACATTCTCCCCGTAGCCCCGTTGCTTAAGACTTTAAATCAAACTCTATGGCTCAGCCTCCCTGCAGAGATGGTTCCAGCTCCCCAGCCCACATCCAGGCAGTGGGGGTAGAAAATTGCCCCCATTGCAGGGAAATTAGCAGCAGCCACCTGCACCATGGATGCAGCCAGCGCTGAGAAGGGTGCTGGGCTCTGTCGGCTGGAAACGAGATAGAAACGCACCAGAAACAAACTGCAGTCACTCTCCTTCCTCTTCAGGCTCTCTCCAGCATGGCCCCAAGGAGGAAGCTCATCTGCTTGCTAAGAGAAATCAGCTGGGTTTACCTGGTCCTGCTTTGCTCGCCTCTGCCTCTGCTGCCTCCGCCTCGGCTGCCTCTGCAGACTGGGGAGGCACAGCAGGACGAGTGTGAATTTATAGGGTGCTTTCCTGGGCTGCTGCTCTGGCCGGCAGCGGAAGGGATGTTGTGCAACCCACCACAGCGTCCCATGCCACCTCAGCTCCCCTTTCCTGGCAAGCTGCTTGGGGTGGCAGAGGAAGGGGCCAGACAAGCTGTATCCCCCTCTGCTGGGTCTTGCCTGCTGGAAGATGGAGTTGCCTGCGAGGAGCACAGCAGGAAGAAGGCAATGGAGGAGGCTGTGCACCCCACATTGACATTTGCTGCTACTTTGAGCACCCCAACCCCTTCTGCTGTTCTGCCAGCTGTGGAAAGGCTGGCCCAGGGTGCTATAACACCCTCGGCATCAGCTTGGCACTCTGCTGAGCTTCTCGCTTCAGGCAGCAGGACCCTCGAGCACACCCATCCTGCATGAGGGATGCTGGTCCTTTGGGACCTTCCGCTCCCCTCCCCGTCCCTTCAGGATCAGGACCCTCCAGCATCAAAGGGAGCAGGCTGCGAGCACCAGTGCTGGAAACAGCACTTGGCCTCTGCCGGGAGCGCAGGAAGCTTGGCAGGTGGCTTCGTCAGAGGGCCAGGCAGATTTTGGGAAGTGTGAGGCAGCACATGATGTCATTGCCCAACTTCGGAGAATTGAGCGGTGGCTTCGGTCAGCTTCTGCTTACCGAGAGCCCAGGGTCAAGCAGGTTTGCTGTGGTTCTCCCCTGCAAAAAGCATCTCCTTCGCCAGTGTCAACAGCACAGCTTTCGTCAGCGTGGGGAGCCAGGAAAGGCAACCGCAAGTTATCACGGCATCGAGAGCCATCATCGATGGGAAAGGATGCACCAAAGGTGGGGGAATGTGGGAGCAGCCCTGAAGGATACAGTCACCAGACCCTTTTTAAATGGCTTTATTTTTCAAAATATACAGTTTATTTACAATTGTAGTGTCTACAGTTTTATGTATAACTTTATTCCAGACCTTTAAATATCTGCAGTAAACATTAGAAAAAAAATAATCACAGGATCAGCAAAAAAAGGCATCTCGTAGCAATTCTGTTCATTGGAGTTTGAGTTTCAAGTAGCCAATGTCTACAAAAAACATGAACTTGATAAATCTGGCAGAGAAATATGGGTGCACTGGTTAGAAAATGGCAAAATCCAGACCTGCAGGATCCCCACCCAAAGGGCTGCAGGCCAAGAAAACCCTGTGCTGGGATCAGGCCAGGAGCAGGATCCAGGATACAGAAGCCCCTCGGCACAAGTTAGGTGATGAGGTTAACTGCAGCGTGTCGGATGCCCCAGGCAGCGGGGCACCCGGGAGGGCCAGGGGCTTGGGGGCTCCGGCAAGGTGCCAGGGTTGAGGAGGGAGGGCAGCATCAGGCACTTCATCTCTTGGGCAGCAAGACCTGCCTGTGCATCCGTGGCCTGGAGCAGGAGGGCAGCGAGGAAGGGGCAGGACCCACCCAGGGAGCCCCACGACCTCCTCCTCCCCTTTCCCTGCATCCTCGCCCCCATGTCCCCCTCAGCAGTACCACAGCTGGACCATAGTGCGCCACGGGGGTGCTCTGGTGTGGGATCACCGCTGTGGCACAGCCCCGGGGAAGGGTCCAGGGGCCAGCCGGCCTCACAGAGGGCTGGAGAGGGGTGCCAGCCCCAGCCCCGGAGGAACGGAGCCAGCAGCCAGGCACCGCGCCAGGGCCCTCAGTCCTCTTTCTCGAAGGTCTCCTCAGGGATGAGCGTCCGGAAGGGGTAATCCCAGAAACGGGTGCTGATGCCGAAGCCTGCGAGCAGGGGAGAGAGTGCTCAGCCCACAGCACCACCATTACCTGGATGCTGTCAGAGACAGGGCACAGCTCGCTCGATATTAACCAAGACGGTGCCACCGTCACCGAGAGCGGCGGGGCTGGGAGCAGCCAGCATGAGGGGCACGTGGCAGGGATGGGACCTGTCTGGGTGCAAAGGTGACGACTGCTGCCAGCACTGCCGGGGCCAGGAGGGAGGACTGCCTGCATTTTAGGGAGGGAGGAAGGCAAGGCAAGGAGGAAGAGCCATAGGAGCAGAAGGAGCTGGCTGGGCCATGCCACCAGCCCCATGGATGATAGCTTATCTGGACGGGGCGTTTTCTCCTAGGAAACCGGGCAAAGGGCAGGTTGAGCAAGTGCCGGGCTGGGGAAGGTGTGGGACGGACCCAGGGAAGCCTGGGGCCTCACCCTGTGCCTGACAACGCCTCCCTGCAGGAGGAGATACTGCCTCAGGTGGGGATGGGCACCCACATCCTGGCGCCAAAAGGGCTCTGCCTCCACCCCAGCATTCCCCCGTGGCATTGGTGTCTGTCAGCAAGACAGGCTGCTGCCTTTGCCCCTGTGCTGCACTGGCTCCCCACCCTCAACCTGGGGGCCAAGAAACGTACCCCATGGGGCTGCAGCAGCTCGTAGGCCCCATCCCCAGCAATGCCTGGGTTTCCCCATCCCAAAGGCCAAATATTTCAGAGCATCAGCTGCACACATGCAGGCAGATGGAGCTTCTACAGCCCTTGTTCCCGCCGGCACACACAGGGAACATGGTGCTACCTGATTTTTGGTGTTCAAAGTGGTGCTTGACGTGATAAGCCTTCAGTCCGTACAGGTAGGTGCCTTTTTTCGGCGAGCCATAGTGGAGGTAATAGTGCATCATGTCATAGATGACGTAGCCGCAGAGCCCCCCAACGAACACCGAGAGCCCCAGCACCTCAGGCAGCAGGAGCTGCAGGACGCCGTAGAAGAAGCCAATCACCAGCGAGGCTGGCACGGGAGGAAAGACCAGGCGGGAGCTGTCAAAGGGAGACTGGAAGCAGAGAAGGACAGTGGGACAGGCAGCTCCTAGCTCATCTCACGTCCCCACCATCGGGGAACCCCAGCACTGGGCCCTGCCAAGCACTGGGGACGCCCATTCAGGACAAGCCAACATCAAAGCAGCCCCCAGAAACCCTCCCCAAAAGAGGTACCCGGTGGCAGGAGCAGCCCCTCACCCATACCGAGGTGGACAGCCAGGCAGTGGCTTTGGTTGGCAGGTCCCCAGGCTCCATGGAGACATTTCCTCCAGCAAAGCTAGAGGGAGCCCATGGCTTTTTTGGTCTTCCCCCTTTCCCAATCAGAGCTTGCAGATTTAACTCCAGCTCCTCCAAGCCCGTCTTGCAGCCCTCACCGGTATTAGGTAAGGGCCCAAGCTTGGGGCGAAGATGCCACGAGTCACGTCGAACACGCACAAACAGGCTCCGCCTGAGCAAAGGCCACGGTTCCCACAGCCCGGAGGGTGCCGGTGGAGGCGTAAGCTGCGACTCACCTTGTGATGCTGCCCATGCAGCAAGAAATGCAGGGTGATGAGATAGTAGTTACTAGCAGGTGGCTTCATGTGGAAGACAAAGCGATGGATGAGGTACTCTAGCAGGGACCACAGGAACATCCCCAGGAGGAAGATGAAGGGGAAGTAGTATTTGTGGACGGGGATGGAGTACTCTACACAACAAGACGTGCAGCGGTCAGCAGGGCAGGCAACATGCGGGTGCTCTTATCCATCGCCATCCTCCCATAGGCATTCAGGTGAAGCTCAGCTCTCCCTCCCTCTCACCCTGAGCTTCCCCAGGGAGCTTCCCAAGCACCGCTCCAAAGCACGTTTTCCTTTGATTCCCATTAATTTACACTCTTTAAGAAACAGTCGGCTTCTCGCTGCCGCAATTTGCTGGCGAGGGGGCTCCCCTGCATCCCAGATGCCACTGGGAGCTTGGACATGACATGAACTCCAGGGATAGCCCCATCCTTACAGAGCTGCTTCACCCACCAGAACAAGGCAGGAGGGGCCTTATCTGCACAGGCAGCATTTGTGATGGTTAAACAGTGTTGCTGGCATTGTTTGGTTTTTTGTTTTTTTTTTTTTTTTTTAATGTTGGGGAAAAAGAATAGGTTTATTGGGCACTTTCCCCCGCAGAGCATTTTTCAGCCACCTCCTCTTTTCAGGGCTGGCTGCCAGTCCTGCAGCCTCACTAGCAGAATTCAGATGACCCCCCCTCAAACCTGTTCATTTTTGAGGAAAAGAAAAACAAACCTCTTGGCAGCAAGGTGCCTAATGCCTCAATAAGCAGGGGGGTGCCGGTGTAAATAGCTCCACCCTGCATCCAGGCACAGCTGGCACTGGGTGGCACCTTGCAAAAAAAATAGGGAGCCCAGCAAAAAAAAGGACAACAAAGAATACAGGCTGCCCCGGCCATGCTTGTTATTCCCGGGGGAGCAGACAGTGGGAGATTCAAGGACAAGTGCTTCGGGGAAACAAGCCCCGCACTGTGCGACGCCGGCAGCACTGAGAGCCGGGTTTGTTCGCACACCACGCCGGCATTCAGCCTCAGCGCGGGGTGGGCGTCAGCGGGGGGGGGCACACACCACAGTCCTGGCGGGGCTTGGTTTTGGGGATGGAGGGAAGGGAGGCAATCACGAGCAGGCTGCACCCTGGGCCAGTGGGCTCTGTGCCTCCCTCGATTCTCCCAGGGTGACTGAATCATGTAGGTGAGAGGAGGGGTTGGAGGTGGGTGAGTTCAAGCTTTAAAGCAGTGCAGGCGGCTTCGTGCAGGGGACAAGCTGGTGGCTGCGGGGACAGGGGGTCACCCTTGCATGTGGCTCATGGTGAACATGCATGGAAAGAGGGATGGGGAAAGGATGCAAAGATTTCCCCTGTCCATGGCTGTCCGGCCCTCGGCCCCGGAGTGGGGGCAGCAAGCCGAGGCCAAAGGCTTTGCCACTGCTCATACCTGTGGTGAAGGAGGAGAAGAGCCTGGTGTTGCCCTGGGCGAGGGAGGTGTAGCTGACCCAGCTGAGATAGAGCACCACGGGAGCCCACACCATGAATACCACATACCTGCGGGGTAGAGGGAGACGTCAGAGGGAGCGCCCCATGGGCTGTCGAGCCGTCCTCCCCTCCCCGTGCAGCCCCCGGGGGCTCACCATGCCGTCTTGGAGAGGGACTCAAGGAGATCTGAGTGGAAGAGGCGGATGGGCCGATCCACAGGCTGGTGCACCCACTCGTCGTACTTCTCCCCCAAGTAGCCCACCTGCCACAGCAAGGGCTTCTGCCAGTCCACCAGGTCCTGGGGAGCAGACAGCAGTTGTACCCCCATGGGACCCACACACCACCCAGTACCAGGCACAAAGCTGCACTGCAGCTGCTGGATTTCAGGCTGGAAACCCTTTCCCATTCCCCACAAGCAGCTGTTTCTTGCTCCAAGCAGCCCTAAGTTTCCCACAAGAAACGGAGCAGACAAGCAGAGCCAGGCACACATCAACCCCATCTACCCAGGAACGCGGGGCTGAGGTCACCCCCATGCCACCGGGTACCTGCTGGCAGTTCAAGGTGAAGGTGGCTGTACCTGGACCTGGCTCAGTGTCAGGCTCTGATAACTGAGGCTCCTTCCCCACCCAGGAGCTGCCAAGATTAGATAGTGAGCAGCGGTGCTCCCTGCTCACTAGCCATGCCAGCGAGCCATCGGTAGGACATGGAGCCCACCCCCATAGCACTGCCCTGGCCAAGGGCTTCTCCCCTTGAGGAGAGGATACGTGGGGTACCTGCAGCCATTCATGTGCTCTGGCAGCGAGGAGCGAAGCAGAAAAGGATGGGGAGCAGGGATACAGGATAGGAATGCAAATGCCAGTTGCTGCTCCAGCACCTGTGTTCAGATGGTTGCAAGAGCAAGAAGGGACCTGTGCAGGCGCGCATGTGTGCACAGGATGAAAATAGAGAGGCCCAACCGGCAGCACCGCCTCTACTGCCACTCAGCATCCCTGGACGTGTCTTCTGCTGGCCCGGCCAGATAAGGTGGTTTCTCACTCCCACCTCTGCCCCAAGACAGAAACCACGCTCGCCCAGCCGAGCCCCAGACCTGGCAGCTCTCCATTGGGGATGGAGACACCCTGTGTCAGGGAGACGGGGGAATAGTTAGAACAAAAAGGTCACTTTGGGATGGCAGATTTGCTTTTAAAGGCAGTCAGCAGCAAAATATTAAGAAAGGGGGAAGGTTTTCTCCTGCTTAAAAAAAAAAATTATCCTCTTGCAAGAGAAAAGAATGCTCACTGTGAGCTGGGGCTGTGCAAGGCATGGCGGCCAGATGGTACCGTGCAAGCTGAGGACATCCAAAGGCACCTTGGGGACAAATCCCTGCTCCCGTGGTGTGTTCAGAGAGGAGCTGGCAGGGCAGGAAGCACCCTGCAACATGGGGATTGCCCTGTCTGGGACAGGGGACCCCTTAGTGTTCATTACTGGTACTCAGTCAAGAGGAAAAAATGAAAAAAATGAAAAAAAGAAAGGAAGAAAAAGATAAAATAAAGCAAGCAAGGTGCAGCTTGGCAGCACATCCCGCTTGAAGGACACAGCTGCTGTCAGAGAAAGCCACTTCCACCCATGCTGCTGCCACAGGAGCCTCCCAGCGTGGCCACACCTGGGCAACAAAGCACAAGCGATGCTGTCTGCTCTGGGAGAAAGGGCAGGAGCAGCCAGAACGGCTCCCTCCCAGCATCCCTCCCATCCCAGGGTCAGCAGAAAGCCAGTGCTCATGCGGGGAAGAGGAGACCTCGTCTGCCCCGGGAACACTCAGGCAAACAGCGTGCTGGAGGCACCCTGGTTCTTACTGTCTCCACATCCACCATTTTGCAGCGGGGATCCATCCGCGCTGGGCTCTGGGATGCAGCTTCCACCACCTTCTCATCCACCGGCTCGGGGTGGCTCTGAAAAGAGAAGGAAACCCCACGGTGAAGCACTGGAGGCAGATGTGGTTGGGGATGGTGGTGGCCATGTCACCCAGGGGCACGGGCAGAATGAGTTTGAGCCCGCCTGCTAAATAAATAAGGGAAAAAATGTGATGAATTTAAGTCAGCCAGTTCCTGCAGAGCAGGTTCCCGAGGGATACAGCTGCCAGCGAGCTGCGCTGCCCTTCGAACCGTGCGCCCAGCATCGTGTGCTCGGGTCTTTCAGGAAACCTTCCCCCAAGCCCGGTTTTGGGACCATCCCACCGTGCTGCGTTGGGCCAGCATTTCCCCGGCGGAGGGGCAGTGCCACAGTGCAGCTCACCCTCCCGCAGGCCAGTGGCCTGGTGAGCACCAGCCCGAGCCAACGCCTCGGCCAGCGAAGTGAGGGGTGTCGCTGGGTTAGCGCCCACAATGCTGCCACCCCCCAACCCTGCTGCTCTCCAGCAAAAGCCCAGACTGGCGTTTCAGTCCCTGAGGAAGCTGAGCTGCCAGAGCAGGGGAGCATGGCATGGCCTCTGCCACCATCCTGGTTCTGGGCACAGGGGAAAAAATGCAGCGGGACCTCACTTGCCCCAGGCAAAAAGGCAGAGTGCCCTTGCAGGGCGGTGCTGGGCCAGGCAGCTTTGCCATGGGCCGTGCAAGGTGGGGTGGAGGGTTGGTTTTGGCTGGAGAGGGCATGCCGAGGCCCGGGGGACACGCTGGTGTGGCAGGACGAAGCTCAGGCTGTGGACCCGCTGCCAGGGCTGGCAGAGAAATAGGAGGAACCTGCCTCATCTGATGCTTGGAAGCAAACACATCGCTGACTGCCAGCACCGTCCTCCTTCCCGCGGCCCTGCCAGCTCCAGCGCGGGACCTGACGCTGGTGGGGGGCTTGGCGAGGCCGCAGCGTGTCCGTGCAAGCCCTGAGCCAGCCGTGCCCCCCGGCAGCCCGACGGCTCCGCAGGCAGGACGTGCCAAACATGCCTTTTCTCCTGCTTTGTCACCTTGAGTTACCCATTAACCCGGGAGCAGGGCACGGCGCGGCAGCCCCGGCACAGCAATGCCCGCCGGGGTTCCCAGCCCTGCCGCTTGCAGCCAGCAAGAGCTTTCTCCCAGCAGCTGCAGCACAAACGGAGCTCCTCGACGGATGCTCTCCCCACTGCTCCGAGAGATGTGATTCCCTTGAGGGACACGAGGGCATCGCATCCCTGTTGGGAATAACCCCCCACCCCAGGAGCTGGGATGCAGGACCTGCGTCACCTCACCGGGGTGGACAGGACTTTGTGCCGTGTTGGTGACGCCGAGGCAGGGCCTGGGTGCTGTTTGCCGACATCAGGCACTCCTTGCCAGCTGGGCTCCCACCCCTTTCCCAGGCTAGCCAGGTTTCAAGCCTCATCCCACTGGTAGAGGAGCTGCGCTACTCAGTCCAGGTAGCCCCTTGCCCCGGGAGAGCAGCAGGGCAGGAGATATTTCTAGCCAGGCTGGACTCGAGCAGGCAGCAGAGCACCAGTGCGAGCTTGTGCTGGGGACCACCACACCTCTTTCTGTGAGGGTTCCCACCACTAGTTTCAGCTTCGCATGCTCCAACCTTCCACTAGACAACCTGAAATCCCAGGGGAGGTGGGATGACTTGAAATCCAGATGAGGATGGTCAAGCCATGGTTTTGGGACCTCCCTGCAGGTGCTTTGGAAGAACATTTGACTTTAAGAGAGAGAGAGACAACTTCTCCATCCCTCAAGAAATGAGCCCGTGCTCCACCTCACCACTTTCACCGCAGCCTCAGCGGCAGGAAGGATGCTTAGGAAAGCCAGGCTGATGCAACGTCCCGGTCCTCTCCTCCCCTTTCCGAAATGTCCACACGCCTCCAACTCCTCTGCCCCACAAATGCCCAAGCATCACGTCATGGCTGAAGGCAGACAGGGGGCTCAGACCCCACCTCGCCAGCAGCACCCAGGCTGGGGAGGATGGGTGCCACCAGTGAGACGCCATCCCCCTGCGTGCCATGGCAGGTCCCTTCCAGCACCTGAGTCACCTCCTCCTCCTTTCTCAGCCAGGGAACAGGAAGAAGACTCTCCTCTCGTTCACCCCAGGACTGGCACCAAAAGGACAGGCAGCCATGGCGCAACCAGGGTGCAAGCCATGCCTGCGTGCCCCAGCTTGCTCCCTGAAGCAGCAGCATGCTCCCGCCTGCCCCGAGCACACAGAGGCCCCATGGGGACTGAGCCCCAGCAGCACCTAGACCAGTGCTGGGGCTTCTGCCCGTCCTCCTCCTCCAAATAAAAGGTGGGTTCAAAGGAGGCTAGAGGGGTCTTTGCAAGTGCTGGGCTCTGCCTGTCACCCGTGGGTGATGCTGATGCATCTGACTCGTCCCCAGGCAAACAGGTCCTGCCAGGAAAGATGTGCAAGAGGCCTGATGTAACGAAGGGAAAGTTAACGCCTATGAAGTGCCGCCTTCCCACACTGCCGCCCTGGAAAATGGCAGCACCAGTGAGGTGCTGGCTCTCCTGCCGGCAGGCAATGGGGCCAAACACCCAGGGCACGGCACAGCGTGGTGACCGAGTGACCCAGCATCCACCTCCAAGCATCCCGCTGCCTGGCGTGGCTCAGGTGGAGAGCTTGGTGCTGGTCCCACACCAGGTGGGGAGCACTGGCTATGCCACCATGGTGCTGCCCCAGAGCAGGACTCACGGTGTTAAAAGAAAACCAAAATCCAGCTGTGATATGAGCAGGTACAGATAGGAGGGATGGTCCCAGCATGGTGCCTGGTGTGCCAGGGACGCACGCAGGAGGAAAAGCTGGAAACCTCCCCCTGGCCCAAGCAGGGCGATGCTGCCTGCAGACAGCTACTCTGCCAGCAGCCCAGACCTGGGTTTTACTTCTGGACCCGTTTTCCCAGCGAATCAAACACCGCAGGAGCCCTGCCGTGCCTCTGCATCACCCCACAGCCTCCAGCACCTTCACCGAGCTCCTAAACGGCTCAATTTGGTGACGTCCTCACAGGCCAGGCTGCGCTGGCAGCGCAAGTGCAGGCATGTAGCACAAGGACACCCCACGAGGCACAGGGAGCCCAAGCGAGGTCCCTACCTGCAGTGGCACAGTCCCAGCATCACCATCCCAACAGCATCACGGCTCCCGGGCAGAGGCTGGCAGAGCCCCACCAGGTTGCATCTCAGCCCATTAAACACTGGGTGCAGCAGGACTATTAAAAGGAGGTTGAATTTAACTTGATCTAATAATAATTTAAAAATCCACTTCTTGTGACACCCCTGAAGAACATGCAAGCGCCTACGTCCAAGTGAGCTCAGGCTGGGATGGAAAGCCAGGACAAGCCCAACCCGCAGCAATGTGGGCGAAAGGAAGGGGAGGACACCAACCCCAAGACGGACGAGGGATTTATCGTGACTCACAGCCACATCACACACCCTAAAGAGGCTGTGATGAAAGTCTCTCATTGCTTAAATTGGAGGGGTAATTAGATGATCCAGTTTCCCTCTAGCAAGGCTGTTAAAATCCACTGTCTAGTTTGGGCAATTATTGCCTCTCACTTTGATCTCCCCTATATGTTCTGTTTGCATAGATAAAAAGTTTGGGGGTTAATTTGTCCTTTGCCAAACAGGGCTGGGTGATGCAGAAGAGGCATCTGTGGCCAAAGGATGGAGCTGAGCTCCTGAGACCCACAGGAAGGGGTGTGGAGAGGTGTGCTGGTGTGATAAAGGCTTGCTCTCATCTTCCTCTTCACCCCTCCTGCATTAACATATATTTTTTTCCCCTTTTCCAAAACCCTTGAAGTCCCTGTGTGTAAGCAGGGGATGCTGGATGCCTGCGGGACCACAGGCTCCCACATCCCTCAACATGGGGATGGAGTAGCCCTGGGACCTCCAACAGGTGAGGAGAGGCGCAGGCAAAGCCATGGGGGTCCGGAGCTGGACTGGGGCCATGCAACGCCTCCTTCAAAGAGCTGCTTGGGGTACGCCTGGCCAAAAGCAGTCAAAGAAAGAGCCCAGGCACCACCGAGGGCGTTAACTCCCCCCATCTCCCTCCAAAGGGGCTATTTTGGAGGTGGCAAGTCTGGCAGAGCAGCTCACACGAGGCGCATGCCAGATGCGGCACGGGCAGCCTTGCGGCGTGGCGGGCAGCTTTCATCCCTGCCCGCCATGTCACAGCCTGGGACGGTTTATCTAGCACCAGGCAGTGTCTGATCCCCTTGCGCCCCAGCGTTATCACACTGTGTATTTGCATTGGGACGGTGGCAATTCCCCTCAGCGCAGGCTGCGGCACGAGAACTCGTTTGTCCGGTACCTTCTTTTGCCCCAACCCGTCAGGCTTGTCATGCCTGTGAGGCGGCGGCGGCAACGAGTGTCCCAACAGAGGAGGTGCCATCGCCAGGATCCAGGGAAAGAGCAGGCATTGCACCGAGGCGGAACAAAGCCCCTTCTGTGGTGCTGCCGCCCATCGGGGCCGAGGCTGTGCCATGGGGAGGAAAACCCAGTGCAAACAATCAGCCCGGAGGGACCGACCGGTCACCGACCTCGCCAGGATGTCCGGAGGGGAAAGCGGCTGCTGGGCTGGCGAAGGGGGCTGGGCTGGCCCGCTGCTCGGGTGTCCTGCCCACGGCGTGCTGGCGAGGGCCAGGAATCCGGGCAGCAGTGCCCGGTCCCACGCTGACTCCTGGAATTTGAGCCAGTGGCTGTGGCGACACTTCCCCGGGGCACTTTCCCTTCCGCCCGGGCAGTGGCTGAGCGCGGGCTGGCGCGGTGGAGATGGCACTGGGTGATGGCCACCCCACGCCCGGATGGTGAGCGAGGTGGCCAGGCTCTGCTCCTGGCAGCAGCCGCTTGTCACCAGCGGACCCCAGCGCCCAGCGCTCCGGCGTCCTGCTGCATCACCCACCCCGTGCCACATGGCCCTGCTAGAGCCAACAATTAGCTGCATGTCCCCGTGTCCCACACCCCTCTGAAGACCCAAAGGGCCCCCTGTTGTGCTGGCACACCAGGGTGACCCAGCAGCCCTGCCCCCTGGCTCAGGCAGGGTGGGATGTGACCACGGGGAGGGATGTTGTAGGTCCCAGGCTCTGCACAGCTGAGACAGGGTCCATCCCAGGCCCTAAGGAGCCCAGACCCTCTGTACCTTGTTATCTTCAGGCCCACATACCCCGGCCCTGCAGACCTCCCTGGAGCCGCTGTGCCCCATGCGCCCAGACCCTTGCACCCTGTACCCCTCAGGCCCCAGGGGCCTCAAAACCCCCTGCCCCATACACCCCTCCTGCCTCAGACCCCGCTCAGCCTGGGCCCCGAGCATCCCATGAAGCTCAGACCCAACACACACCAAATCCCACGCAGCTCGGACCTGGGCACCCTATACACCCAGTACACTACATGCACCCCAAAGATTCCACGACCTATAGACCCCGCAGAGCCTCTACATGCCCCGTATGGCTCAGACCCTGCACAGCCCGGTCCTGGGGTGCCCTATAGACCCTGTAAGGCTTAGGTCCTTATAGACGCTGTACCTCCCAGACTTGGGGGCACTCTGTCGACTCTGTATGCCCCAGACATGGGACACCCTGGACCTGGGGCACCCTACAGACACTGCACCTCCTGGATCCGGGGGCACCCTACAGGCTCTGCATACCCCAGACGTGGGACACCCCAGACCTGGGGCACCCTGCAGCCTCTGTATACCCCAGACACAGGACACCCCGGCCCCAGGGGCACTCTACAGACTCTCTATATCCCAGACATGGGACACCCCAGACCTGGGGCACCCTACAGACTCTGCACCTCCCAGACCTGGGAGCACTCTATAGCCTCTGTATGCCCCAGACACGGGACACCTCGGCCCTGGGGGCACCCTACAGACTCTATATATCCTAGATACGGGGCACCCTGGACCTGCGGGCACCTTGTAGCCTCTGTAACCCCAGACACGGGACACCCCAGACCTGGGGCACTCAACATCCTCCGCACCTCCCGGCCCCGGGGCAGCCGGCGGTACCTGCTCGTCGCCGGGCTCCATCTCCCCCACGTAGTACTGCTCCAGCCAGCGGCGGGCGTTGGCGGAGTGCCGGTGGGGCGGCCCGTCGAGCGCGGCGCTCAC